GCCTCCTCCTCTCCCTCTCCCTCCTCCGCCTACTCCTCCTTGTCTCCATCTTCCTCCCCCTGTCCTCTCCCTCTCCCTCCCTCCTGCCTCCTCCTCTCCCTCTCCCTCCTTCCTCCTCCTCTCCCCATCCCTGCTCCTCCTGCCTCCTCCTCAGGCCTGCCTCCTGCCGCCTCCTGGGGCCTCCTGGGGCCTCCTGGAGCCTTCTGGGCCTCGCGGGACATCCTGGGGCCTCCTAAGGCAGTCCTCTTCCTCCTTGTCCTCCCGGTCCTTCTCACCCTCTGCCTCCTCCTCCTCTTCCTCCGTCTCCTTTTCGTCCTGCATCCTCCTTCCTCCTTCGTCCTCCTCCTCCGCCTCCTCCTCCTCCTCCTCCTCTTCCTCTCCTCCTCCTCGTGCGGGACACGACCCAGAGGAAGCGCACGACGTGCGTCCCAAGAGATATGCGCCGGAGGACGACCCAGAGGAAGCGCGCGCTGGAGGATGTCCCAGAAGACGACCCGGAGGAAGCACGGGAGGTGCGGGCCCCATAGGGAGGGAGCTCCCGCCTGAGACTTCCTCGCAATCCACTCACAAACGAAGCTCCCACCTGATGCTTCCCCCATATTCAAGACCCAGGAGCCCAAAAGCGACGACAGTGACAGGATTCCGATGACACGCCTCGGATCAAAAACATGAGCTGCGGGCCTCATAGGGAGGGGGCTCCCGCCTGAGACTTACTCGCAATTCTGGCACAGACGAGGTCCTCCATATTCAGGCATCGGGAGGCCAAAACTGACGACAATTACATGGATGAGGATGACCGCTCGGATTACCAACATGGAAGTGCGGGACCCATAGGGAGGGTGCTCCCGCCTGAGACATCCTCAAAAACATTATCTGCGGGCCGCATAAGTAGGGGGCCCCGCCTGAGACTTCCTCGCAGTTCACTCAGAGACGAGGCTCCCGCATGAGACTTCCCCCATATTCAAGCTTCAGGAGCCCAGAAGTGACGACGGTTACACGGATGAGAATGACCCGCTCGGATTACCTACATGAAATGCGAGCCCCATAAGGAGGGTGCTCCCGCCTGAGACTTCCTCACAATTCACTCACAGACGAGGCTCCCGCCTGATACTTCCTCCATGTTCAGGCCTGAGATGTTTCTGCGCGGGGTGTCCAGAGAATATGATGCTGAGTGATGAGAGAGAGAGTGTGTGTGATGTGCGACTGAGTATGATCATGATGGCGGTGGTGATGCTGATGACGATGATGATCGATGGCCGATGGTGATGCTGATCGATGGTGAGTGACTGAAAATGATGATGATGATGATGATGATGATGATGATGATGATGATGATGATGGTGATGATGATGCCCGATGGTGATGATGGCCGGTGACGGGGTGAATGCGTGAGTGCGGCGGAGAGTGGGAGGGAGGTAAGGTTCCTGCGCGGAGGGTGTCCAAAGAAAACAAGAGCCCCACTCTGGATGTGGGGATCAAAACGAAAAACATAGAGAGATACACGGCCTTGACCGATCGCGGCCCGCCGAGAGCGCGGACCTTCCAGAGTCGGCCAAGCCCGGCAGCCCCGCGAGAGAGCGCAGACGTGTCGATGTCGGCCCAACACGGGCCGCTGAGGGCGTTCGGCCTCGAACGCCCGCCGCCGCCGGCGGGGCCGCCGCGGCGGGCGCGGCAAAACCCTGCGGCGTGTGTGCCGACACGCTGCAGGAAGAGAAGGAGGAGGAGGAGGAGGAGGATCAGGAGGAGGAGGACCAGGAGGACCAGGAGGAGGAGGAGGAGGAGGAGGAGGAGGAGGAGGGGGAGGAGGAGGAGAGGAGGAGGAGGAGGGGAGGAGGAGGAGGAGGAGGAGGAGGAGGAGGAGGCGGTGGAGGAGGAGGAGGAGGCCAAGCCAAGAGTGACTACCTTCCAGACCACCCAAACCCAACCCGAAGACCCGAATTTAACCCCAATTTTGGGTGGAGGGGGTACGGGTTCCATGTGTTTTTCAACGGTCCCCGACCCCCCCCCACTGGAAATGGAGGGCAAATTGAGGGCTTCGGGTTGGGTTGGGGTGGTTTGGTGGGTGGTGACCAACGGGACAGAGAGAAAAAGTGATTGGGAAAGACTCACGCCCCCGTCGTCGCGGTTTTTGTACCATCGTCGGCCCTGGGAACGACTCACGCCCCCGTCGTCGCGGTTTTTGTACCATCGTCGGCCCCCCAGAAGTCTCGACCCCTTCCCCGGGACCGGTCATCCTGAGTGGTTATTCGACGTGTGTGAAACATGTTTCGCAACTTTCGCGTTCCCCGATAAGATATTGTTTTTTTCGCAATACAATAAAAGTACATTACCCGTTCAAAAAACACTAGGATACATCGTACCTTTAAAAAGCCATGATTGAATTAGGCGAAGGCCCCAGAGGCCGAAACTGGTGCACACCAAAAAACGTGCGTCGAGGATGCGCGTACGACGCGAGGGGGTACAGTATTCGGCCTGACCTAAGGAACGATAAATAAGGAAAGAAGCACCTTTTTCCAAGTAAGTCTAGGAAGTCCGAAGGAACACCAGGGGGGCCTCGCCGCCAAAAAGGTAGCGGAACGCATGCAAACCAAAAGAACGACCGAACCGCTTTTGAAAATGACGTGTTCCATAGTTCGGCCGGATCCTGTACGACGCGAGGGGGTGTGGAGGGAGGTGGCCTGGGCCAGCGCAGGCTCCAGCAGGGTGAGGCTGGTGGCCGAGAAGCACACGTCCACCACCTCGGCGCCGCCGCAGCGCACCCCATGGGGGGCCCCCCGCCACGCCAGAAAAAAAAACGCCATGAACATAAACCTTTGGCGCTCCGCGTGGCTTTCTTGCATCCGCGCGGGGCCCCCCTCCCTGGCGCGCGCAGCGCGCCAGGGGCGGCGCCGGAGGCGCCGCAGAGGGGGGCCCCAGCGCGGATCCGCGAAATCCGCGCGGAGCGCGAAACATTTAGGTCTGTGTGGTTCTCTGTTCCTCGGCGCGCGCGAGCCGCTGCTGCGGCCGTCGCCGCCCGCCGCGGCGCCTCGCGTCGCGCCTGGGCCACGGGCCCGCGGCTCAGAGGGCGCGCCTCTGCAGGCCCGGGGGGCCCCACGGGCGATCGGCCTCCGCCAACGCACCCCCTCGGGGGCCCCATTTTGGGCGCCCGACTTGTCCGGGGTAACTCGGGTCCGGGGTAACTCGGGCTTGGATTCCCGAAAAAGGAGCCCGAGTTGGCCCTGACCCGAGTTACCCCCGATGATGTGGGGCTCTGGACGCCCGAGTTATCCGGGGTAACTCGGGTTCGGAGCCCCGAAAAACGAACCCGAATGATCCCTGACCCGAGTTACCCCTGATGATTCGGGGCTCTGACCATTCCGCGGGCCCCAACGCCAGGTCTGCACCGCCAGAGTGGGGGGCGCGCCGGCGCGGGCGAGAGTCGCGCGCGGGGTGCCGGCGGCGCCGGCGTCCTCGTCATATGTCGGCCCTCCCTCGGCTCCCCTCGCCTCTGAGGGGCAGCGTCAGGTCGGGCATGTCCCCCTACAGACGGATTTGGGACGAAACAAAACAAATAGTCAAAAAAACATACCCCAAAATGGTCATCAGTTTGTCCGAAAATCGTTCCGAGACTATGTTTTGACTACTTTTGACGATGGGAAGTGGAAGCGCTGCATGAACATACGTACCTATACGACCATATCCTCCTACAGGCGGGCTTTGGAAAGAAGATGAAGAATCATCAAATTACGCTACCGAGGAACCCCACATACTTATATTATGGCTGGAGTGATGATAGCTGAAAAGAAGCATGTGAGAATGATGTTGGTGGCCGTTCCCTGCGCGCCCCCTCTGATGTCGAGAAAATGACACGCCTGCTGCGCCGTGCGAGCCTGCAACGGATAGAGACCGCACCCCACGCGCACCCCCCTCTGTTATCGAGACTTTGCCATGCCTGCCGCGCCCTGCACGCCTGAAACGCATAGAGACCGCACCCCCTGAGCACCCCCTCTGGTGTCGAGAATTCCTACGCCTGCCATGCCCTGCGCACCTGCAGCGCATAGAGACCGCACCCCCTGCGCACCCTCCTGGTGTCGAGAAAATGCCGCGCTTGCCGTGCCCTGCGCGCCTGCAACGCATAGAGACCGCACCCCCTGTTCACCCCCTCTGGTGTCGAGAATTCCCACGCCTGCCGCGCCCTGCGCGCCTGCAACGCATGGAGACCGCACCCCCTGCGCACCTTCCTGGTGTCGAGAAAGTGCCGCGCCTGCCGTGCCCTGCGCGCCTGCAACGCATAGAGACCGCACCCGATGTGCACCCCCTCTGGTGTCGAGAAATTGCCACGCCTGCCGCGCCCTGCGCGCCTGCAGCGCATAGAGGCCGCACCCCCTGCGCACCCTCCTGGTGTCGAGAAAGTGCCGCGCCTGCCGTGCCCTGCGCGCCTGCAACGCATAGAGACCGCACCCCCTGAGCACCCCCTCTGGTGTCGAGAAATTGCCGCGCCTGCCGCGCCCCGCGCGCCTGCAACGCATAGAGGCCGCACCCCCTGCGCACCCTCCTGGTGTCGAGAAAATGCCGCGTCTGCCGTGCCCGCGCCTGCAACGCATAGAGACCGCACCCCCTGTGCACCCCTCTGGTGTCGAGAAAGTGCCACGCTTGCCGTGCCCTGCGCGCCTGCAACGCATAGAGACCGCACCCCCTGCGCACCCTCCTGGTGTCGAGGATTCCCACGCCTGCCGCGCCCTGCGCGCCTGCAACGCATAGAGACCGCACCCCCTGCGCACCCTCCTGGTGTCGAGAAAATGCCGCGCCTGCCGTGCCCTGCGCGCGCGCAACGCATAGAGACCGCACCCCCTGTTCACCCTCTCTGGTGCCGAGAATTCCCACGCCTGCCGCGCCCTGCGCGCCTGCAGCGCATAGAGACCGCACCCCCTGCGCACCCTCCTGGTGTCGAGAAATTGCCGCGCCTGCCGTGCCCTGCGCGCCTGCAACGCATAGAGACCGCACCCCCTGCGCACCCTCCTGGTGTCGAGAAAGTGCAGCGCCTGCCGCGCCCTGCGCGCCTGCAACGCATAGAGACCGCACCCCCTGCGCACCCTCCTGGTGTCGAGAAAGTGCCGCGCCTGCCGTGCCCTGCGCGCCTGCAACGCATAGAGGCCGCACCCCCTGCGCACCCTCCTGGTGTCGAGAGAGTGCCGCGCCTGCCATGCCCTGCGCGCCTGCAACGCATAGAGACCGCACCCCCCGCGCACCGCTTCTGTTATGGAGACATTGCCACGCCTGCCGCACCCTGCATTCCTGCGTGCGGCAGCGGTGAGGGACCACCCCCTGCGCACCCCCTAAGCTGAGCTGTGCTGTGCTGAGCTGGGCTGAGCTATGCTGTGCTGTGCTGTGCTGCGCTGTGCTGTGCTGAGATGAGCTGAGCTGTGCTGTGCTGAGCTGTGCCGTGCTGAGCTGAGCTGAGATGTGCTGAGCAGTGCTGTGAGGAGGAGAGGAAGAGTGAGGTGTGTGTGTGTGTGTGTGTGTGGAAGTGTCGCGGGTGCGGCGCGGCAAGGAAGAAAACCAGAACCCCACGAAGCATGTGGGGAACTATGCTCCAACATTGTTTGAAAAAAAAATGCTGAAACACATCCCCTGACTATCTTTTTGACTGTATCCGTGTACGGTAGGTTCGCGCGGCGTCGGCGCGCAGAAAGGTTTTGACACCGCGTCGATCGTTCAACCTTGGATCGGACGCGGCCCCGATCGTTCTAGGTTGAATTCCGTCGGGTCCAATGGGGGCACCGTGTCCCTCGGTGCTTCCGCGACGCAACATTCAACCTTGAACGCCTTCGCCGGCGTCGCCAGCGCGCCGCCGCTTGGACTGACCGTAGCTGTGGCACAACATTCACACGCCTGGTTATGACATCTGAAGAACAACATGGTGACATTCCCATGTTGAGAAGAGACGCCCTCCGGCCCTGTAGCTGCTGCACGAAATGAATGACCTGGTCGTGAGAACCGAACACGTCTCCAGCGAGATCCCGATCTAGGAAAACTATAGACCTCTGTTCTCTACCCGTTGTAGCTGCTGGGAGAATGCCAGACGAATGCGCCGAACGCCACAACGCAAGATCCATTTCGAACACAGTGCGCTCCCCGTCTGTACAACTCTCAATCCCGTGAAGCGCCAAAACGAATGCTCCACTATGAGAAGACAACGCCCTGCATCTGTGTAACTCTTGGGCACGTTCAAGACGAACGTGCGAGACTAAACATCGAATGCGTCATTTGAATATGTGGCCGATTCCGAAACACCTGGTTCGAAAACAATCACATGCATCTCTTGAGAACGCACTTGCTCATAAGCCGGCTGCCGCAAGGCTTCTGCGGGCAAGACTTGTGTCAGCTTGGAGTTTCGGGCTCCCTTCCCCAGAAATCCGAGGCGCACTGGATGTGGGTAGAACATCTGGTCCACTGAGGTTCGACCTGTATCCATATCCAGTGCGCCTCGGCCTTGCGGCGCCCCTTCCAAGAAAGTCCAACACGCACTGGGCACGGATATACAAGTTGCCCGAAGCTTCTGCCGATTTCCGCCAGCGGCACCGACCTCGTTGTACATCCGCCCGCTGACCCCGAGGCAGACGAGGCGACCCCTCGAGCCCTTGGAGGCGAGGCCCTCTCTGGAATGGCCGCAGCAAAGGTACAGCCCTCCAGCTGCGCACCCGGTGGGAATTTGCAAGCCGCAGGGGCACACAGGATGGGGGGCGTCTTTGGCGGGCCGCTCGGACCGCTCGACCGACACGCCCGAGGGCACGACGAGGAGGGGCAGCTGATAAGGAAGAGGGGCGGTTGAGATCCCCCTATGCGCCTGGAAGTCCCACTGGTGTTCGGTCGGGCGTGTCCCCCTACAGACAGATTTTGGACGACAAATAAGACATAGTCGAATCAAATGTCTAAAATGCTCTAAAATGTGCAAAACATGATCACCCGATTGTTTTAAACTATTTTTGGAAATTCCCCCTGTAGAGGACATGCCCGACTGAACACTGGCGGAGGAGGTCCTACGATGGTTGTGGTTTTATGGCTTTAAAAGGAAAGGTCTGGGGAATACAATTCAGAGCCGGCTCCTGGTAGCGCGAATGCCGGCCTCAAAACGCACACGCAAACCGCTACTGAGCACTGCGTCGCGGTCAAAGCAGCCAGGTTACTTGTCAGCCAACAGCCCCCCGTCGGTCCAATGGAGGAGGAGCAGGACGACGACGACGACGTCGATAGATAGGGTGAGGGGGACCAGGAGGGGGGGGATGATGAGCCTCCTCCTCCTCCTCCTCCTCCTCCTCCTCCTCCTCCTCCTCCTCCTCCTCCTCCTCCTCCCCCCTCCCTCCTCCTGCCTCCTCATCGCTCCTCATCCTTCACTCTCCTGCCGCCTCCTCCCGCCTCCTGCCACCTCCTCCTCCTCGTCCTCCCCGGCTCCTCCTCCCCTCCTCGTCCCTCACCCTCCGCCTGCGCCCTTACCCTCCTCCCTCCCGCCCTCCTCCTCCCCCCCTTTTCCTGCTGCCTGGACCCGGAGAAGAGGCCTCGAGACCTCGCCTCGACGCGGAGGAGAGATGAGGAGGGAGGAGCAGCAAGAGGAGAAGGAGGAGGAGGGGGAGGAGAATGGAGGAGGAAAGGGAGACGAAGGGAGGGAGGGAGGGAGGGAAGAAAGGAGAGGGGGAAGGAAGAGGAGGAATGAAATAAAGGAGGAGGAGGAGAAAAGGATGAACAAAAGACGGAAGGGCTTACGATCGAGTTTCCGTGAATCCCTTCCATCCTGCACGGTGACTGGCCGCCGTGAACGCATGAACCTCCACCCCGCAGGTCGTCCAGGGGGCGATCGTAACTCAGGGAGGAGGAGGGATGCCGAGGAGGAGGGAGGAGGAGGATGAGGAGGGGAAGGAGGAGGAGGAGCAGCAGCAGCAGCAGGAGGAAGGGCGAGAAGGATGAGGGAGTGCAGGGGGACATGGTAATGAGGGAGGAGAAATTAAGGACACGAGGCTGGACGGACTGCCGAACCCGCGCCCGCGAGCGCGCCGAAGCTGGGCCCTGCGCCGCGAAGTAGTCCGCGTCGGCACGGATGGGCCTCCGGTCGGACAGTCCTCTTGGTGCTCCTGCTCCTCCCTCCCTCCTCCTCATCCTCCTCCTCCCTCATCCTCCTGCTCCTCCTCCTTCTCCTCCTCCTTCCTCCTCCTCTCCTCCGCCTCCTCCTCCTCCTCCTCCTCCTCCTCCAATCATCCGCCTCCTCCTCCTCCTCCTCTCCTTCTTCTCCTCCTCCTCCTCCTCCTCCTCCTCCTCCTCCTCCTCCTCCTCCTGCTCCGCGTCCTCCTCGTCCCTCGTCATTATCCTCATCCTCCCCCCTACTCCCTGCTGCTGCTGCTGCTCCTTCCTGCTGCAACTGTTGCTCCTCCTCTTGCTTCCTTCCTCCTCTCCCATTCCTCCTCTTCTGCCTCCTCCTTCTCCCCCCCTGCCCCCTCCTCCCTCCTCCTCCTCCTTCTCCTCTTCTCCTCATCCTCCTCCTCCTCCTTCCTCCTCCTCCTCTCCCCTCCTCCTCCTCATCCTCCTCCTCCTCCTCCTCCTCCTCCCCTCGTCCTCCTCCTCCTGCTCCTGCTCCTACTTCTCCTCCTCCTCGCCTCCTCCTCCTCCTCCTCCTTTTCCTCCTCCTCCTCCCACATCATCCCTCTTCCTCCCCTCCACTCCCTGCTGCTGCTGCTGCTCCTCCTCATCTCTTCTGCAACTGCTGCTCCTCCTCTTGCGTCCTTCCTCCTCCTGCTTCTGCTGCTCCTCCTCCTCCTCCTCCTCCTCCTTCTCCTCTTCCTTCTTCTCTGTCTTTTCCTGCTGCTCGTTCTCCTCCTCCTCCTCCTCCTCCTCCTCCTCCTCCTCCCTTCCTCCTCCTTCTCTCTTTCTTTTGCTGCTGCTTGTTCCCCTCCTCCCTCCTCCTCCCTCCTCCCCCTCCTCCTCCTCCTCCTTCTGTCTTTTCCTGCTGCTCGTCCTCCTCCTCCTCTTCCTCCTCCTGCTCCTGCTCCTCCTTCTCCCCTCCTCCTCCTGCTCCTCCTCCTCCTCCTGCCTCTCCTCCTCATTCTCGGCCCCCCTCCCGCCCTCTCCCGTGGGACCTCTTGAGCAGCCCCTCGCCTGGAGCGGGGCGGGCAGGAGGGGGGGCGGCAGCCACCGAGCCTCGCGAGGGATGCAGCCAGGACCTTCTTGCTCCGCGTACAGCGGTGGCGTGGCATTTGTGTCGCCCACTTCACGGATGTCGTCTGGGTGTGCCTGTCGGTCAAGTTTCTCGAGCGCGAAAGATACCCGTACCCTTACCCAGACGGGGTGGCAAGGGGCCCTCGGGGCATCACCCCCCCTGGGTCCGGGTCGGCTCCCGAAACCACCATACATACCCGTACCTAGACGGGGTGACCCAACCACCACCCCAGCTAGGTCCGGGTATGTATGGTTGTTTCGGGCACCGGCCCGTACCCAGACGAGGTGGCGGCAAGGCCGAAAACGCTCTAGCGGGCGGCCCTTTTCACCCCAGCTGACCCCGGGTCCGGGTATGTTTTGGGCTAATGAAAGTTCGACTGACTCACACCGAGCGTTCGACTTCTGCGTGTTTATGGTCGCGCCGCCGCGCCATTTTGGCTGCGTTTACTTGCTGGTCGCCTCCGGGACTTCCATGCCGCAGGGTTTGGGGGTATCGGTTCTGGCTCTCCTTCTGAGTGGCTGCCCGCTCGCTCGCTTCGCTTGCCTTTCCTTTCCTGCTGCCTAGTCGCGGCCCGACTAGTGTTCGGACGGCTTTCGACCCGCCTCGCGAGCCTGTTGACCCAAAAAACTATAGCCATGGCAGCCCCGGCGACGCGTCGAGGTCCATGCCTTGCAAGCTGCTGGCGCGTCGCTCCACTTCACGGGACGGCAGCTGGGAACCCTCGGATCGTCGACGCCTGGGGTCCCCGACGCGATTGGCGCGTTTCGCGCCGAAGCGCGTGGGGCCAGGACCGGAGGCACGACAGGCTGAGCAGACTCCTCCTCCTCCTCCTCGAAGCGGATGAGGCCCTGCGTCGCGCCTTCGGGAGACCGTTGTCTGTCCCTTCGCGTCGCCATCCGCGTCGCTACCCCACGCCGGGTCCGCGCCGACGGGCGCTGTATCCCCGCCGGGCTCGCACGAACAGGCAATGCCCCGCGAAAATGAAGCGTGATGCAGGATGGCGATTGGGACACCGAATGGGTGAGACCGATGGAATTCTGGTTCTGGGCCCCGCGGGATATATGATCGATCCATGGGAGGGTAGGGTGCATCATCAATTAATCCAGACTTTATGCTGATACAACCAATCGATGAAAACATGCCGGGGGAGAGGGAGGTCGCAACGCCCAACATGGAAGTGAACGAGAAAAAAAGCATTCCCGGTTCGTCGTCGTCGTCGACGTCGAGACCGCAGGGCCGCAGCCGACACCTCGACCTTCCTCATCCCTCCTTCCGCTTCCTCTCGCCTCTGGTGCGCGGAAGGGAGGAGCTCGTCGTCGTTGTCGCCATCGCCGCCGTCATCGCCTTGGTCGCTTCCCCCTGCGCCACCTCATGCTCCTCCTCTTCATCCTCCTCCTCGTCCACCTCCTCGTTCTTATGATTTTCCTCCTCCTTCTCCCTCCTGTTCCACCTCTTCGTTCCCCATTTCCACCTCCCGCGCGCGCGGTCGCTACCTTCCGCGCGTGGTGGAGACGGACAAAGCGATGGGAAGGAACAGGAGCGAGGTCGGAGGCGGAGGGAGGAGGGCAGAGGAGGATGAAAGCTGAGGGAGGAAGAGGAGGGAGGAGGGGACGAGAAGGAGAAGCAGGAGGACGATGTGGAGGCGGAGTGGCGCGTCCTTTCTGTTGCGCCGAAAGCGCCTCGATGAACGCGGCGCCCGATCGAAACTCCAGGCATCTACCGGCCGCCGCGTCCTCGCCAACCTGAGCTGGAGCAGACCGCGATGCAGGATCGGATCGGGGACGGATCGGACCACCAACGAATCATCCCTATCCGCATCGAATGGACCAGACTACTGAAGGGGCCCCTGGACACACAAATCAATACACACAAATCAAGTAATTCCAAATATTTTCACATATCGTCTGGGTTTCTGTCTTCCCCACCACATCCCTTATTTTCCGATATTTTCTGGGGAATCGACGATTGATTGTGTCTGTGTGCTGTTTCCCCTCCTGAATTACGAACGACACCACCCGACCTACAGCCCCAGGGGGCTCAGCGCATACCGAGAGAGCAGGCGTGGGCTCCTGCGTGAAATGCGCCACGGCCCCCGATGAATTGCGCAACATGGCGGGCCGTACGTGGAATGTCGTCGTATGTCTTTTGGTCGATCGGAGTCGAGGCCCCGGCCAGCGAATCGAACCTGGGGAATCAAAAGGTACCGATGCCGCTGCTCCCAGGACCTCTCCCGAGGTGCGCTCTTGCCAGAACTCCGAAGCGAAGATTCAGCGGTGGCGACGAGGGCCTCCCAGGAGGCCCCAGAAGGCGAGAGCCGCATCGAAGTCGAGGGCCAGGCCAACGGATCCCAGAAGAAGAAAAAACGCCGTAAGCTCCAACTTTTGGCGCTCCGCGCGGACTTCTTGGATCTGCGCTGGGCTCCCCCTTCCCTGGCGCACGCAACGCGCCAGGCGCGGCGCCCGAGGCGCCGGCCGGGGGGGGGGGGGGGGGCCCAGCGCGAAGCCGAGTCATCCGCGTGGAGCGCCACACGCTTATGTCTGCTGGCCAGTACAGCGCGGAAGACAGCTCGGGGATCTTCTGACCCGGGTCAAGTCAGACCCGGGTCAGCAGGAGACCAAAAGCTGCAATGCAGGAACAAAAAACTGCAACGCAGACCTTACCCGGGTCAGCCAATATGCGCGGCCGCCTCGCGGCCACGAACGGCTCGCTAACCCAGGTCAGCCAGAGGGGGTCTTCGCAGGATCCCGCAGGATCTGGCGCCCAGGCCGACCCCCGTTTGCCCTGACCCCCGCCTCGAGGCCCCCGCACAGCACGCGCCGCGGCCCCCACCGGGAGGTGCTGCCCGGGCCCCCATTCGCGTGCTCGTCGCACGGCTCAGGCGTGATCCTCCTCCTCCTCCTCCATCTCCTCCTCCTCCTCCTCCTCCTCCTCCTCCTCCACCTCCTCCTCCTCCTCCTCCTCCTCCTCCTCCTTCCTCCTCCTCCTCCTCCTCCACCTCCTCCTCCTCCTCCTCCTCTCCTCTCCTCCTCCTCCCCTCCCTCCTCCTCCTCCTCCTCCTCCTCATCCTCCACGACGGGGGGGGGGGGGGCAACATCGACCTAGAATCGGTCACAACTGCCAAATCTTTCTCTCTCTGGCGTCTCTTCCTCGTCGAGATCGGCTCGTGGGCCCTGGGCGGCCCCGCCTCGCCCAGCAGCGCCGGCCACAGCGCCGCCGCCTCCCGGCAGGCCTCCGCCGCGCCCTCGCCGAGGTCGAGCCCCGCCGGGCTGCCGTTCGCGAGGGCCAGCAGCGCGCCGAAGCCCTCGCGCTGCACCTCCTGCGGACCGGGGGGCCGACTGGAACGAAAGACGCGGTGGTCGACGACGCCGCCGACGCCGCCGTCGCCGACGCCGACGCCGACGCCGACGCCGACGCCGACGCCGACGCCGACGCCAACGCAGACGCCGACGCCGACGCCGACGACGACGACGACGACGACGACGACGCCCTGGCGGCGGCGGCGGCGCGCCTCGGCGCGCGCTTACGCGCGCGGAGGCGCTCGGCGAGAACTGCGGCGCCCAGGATGGGGAGTGTTGCCCAGACCCCCCCGCGCCATGAAAAATCACAACGGGGAGTGTTTTCGCTACTTTCGGCCTCTAAAAAAAACCCTCCCTGGGCCTCGGGAAGGTCAAAAGCCGACTCAGGATGCAAAGCCAGTCCCGAGGGATGGGTCGAGACCTCTGGGGGTCGACAGTTTGACAAAAATCATGACGTTGGGTGTCTGGGTACTGGTGTTCGCATGCGCAATTGCAAGCCCCCCAACGAAGATTTACCACCACTGCGTAATCTGCGGCGGCTGTCTGTCGGTTGCGCAGGCAATCCACGTAGGACCCCATCTCTGCGAACCACCTCATTTCGGACTACACAATGATGGTTCGCAATATCCGGACAAGCAAGGTTGTGACGTTTCAAGATGTAGCTGCACGCTGGCTCAACTACCAACGCCCACGCCATCATTCCGAAAATTCGAAACCACTTTTGTAATGCGAGAATGCGATAATACGAAATCCGGTGGAATCTCTAGTGACCCATCCCTCGTCGAGTCTGAGCTTCGTGAGGGGTCCCAGGGCCCTGTGGGCCAATGGGGAAGCACACATTATCTCGGGGCACCTTCTGGTAAGCCAATTCCTGATATGATGGGCCAAGCGTGTAACAGGAATCGTGATCGCATTGTCTTCATATGCCAACAATGTGGCGGCACCGTCGCGACCTCTTGAGCGGGCGCGATCAGGCGTGATGGGTTGCGCCCTACCACTGTTCCTCCAGCGGCGAAGTGGCGGCACCGTCGCGAAGCGTCAAGCCGGGACACGCTCGGGCGAATTACCGCCCGGCGTGGCAGGCGGGTAGACTGGACGTGGCAATCGCGTGGAAGAGCAACTTCCGAAACGGGCATGCGTGTGGAAGGTACTCCAGATGTTGTAATAAAAGGGAGGGGGTCTGGACCCTCCAAGACAAGCCATTTCAGACCTCCCCCGTGGGAAAACCCTCCAAAACATCGTCCCCAGACCCCCCCAGGCCCTCCAAGATAGCCTGGATTTTTTCATGACTCGAGGGGGTCTGGGAAGGTACCACGCACACACAGCCAGATTCACGTGCGGAGCATCCGGAGGCCACGCCATGGGCCGATGCGCTGCGGAGACACCTTGCCACATGTGCACCCAGCCCTCGTCCAGGCTGGCCGCGCCGTGTGCATCCAGCCTCCTGGCGTTCTGCTACACGCAGCAGTGCTCCGGGGCGAGAGGGACCCTTGGCGCACGGCCTGAAAATCGTTGCACGCGGTTCAGGAGAGACAAAAGTACCACTACCACCAGCTAGGGGGGTGGCCGCTCCCTCCCCTCGAGCTGGTGGCACCTCCTTCCGGGAACTCTCTGGAGGCATGCCCGAAACGAGGTGCCACCAGCACGAGGGGGAGGAGCGTGCCACCCCCCTGGCTGGTGGTAGTGGTACTTTTGATTTTGGTGAGCGGTGCGACAGAAGCGGCCCGAGTGGTGGGCTTCGGTCTCCGCGCGCCCCCCCTGAGCTGTGAGCCCCTCGCGCCTAGGGCCACTCCGGCGAGGGGTCACGGGGCTTTCGGATCGCAGCTCGGGTCTCCAGTCTCCAGCATCTGGTCTGGACGATTCGGGCACCCATGCCCCGGAAGGCTCTCGACGAGGCCATGGAGCGCATCCCTTGGCAGGAGCACCTCCGACGGCCTGAGTGCTGCTTGGGTCTGCCCCCCGCGCGCCCCCGACACCCGCGCGGCCCGGAAGTCCCGACCGTTTGCCCAGGGTCGGCGGTAAGTGTCCGACCACGGACCCCTTCTTACCCATTGCTCCTTCTCCGTCTGCGGTGGTCTTCGGGCGCTCTTCCGTGGTCTGTGGGCGGTCTTCTGAAGGTCTTCGGTGGTTTCTGGCGGTCTCTGGCGGTTTGCACCGGTCTTCGGCGCGAAAGCTGGATAATCGAACACCTAGCCCGCGTTTCGTCCCGAGCCGTTTTTCGACAGTCCAGGGAGCCCGAATGTGGCAAAACACCTCCCGTCGCGATTCTCTCACGACGCCCGCATTTTTGCTTTGAGATCTCAAGAGGCCCGCGGGTTCCCAAGGCCTCGGGAGGTGAAGTGCCAAGCCACGCGGGGCGACAAGCCATGGCTGCGGCGGCACCTTTGGACTACCCTACAGGGTCAGCGCCAGCAACACAACAGCAACGAACTATCATCGGGCCGCAGCTAGATGGCCGAGGGATTAGGAGGCAACTACTGGGAGGTTCTCGTCGGAAAGATTAAGGAGGATTGAGCCCCATTTGGGAGCTGTTACGCCGGAAAAGGCCTCGGACTAATCAGGATTAAGCCGGAGTAAGCCGGATTAAGCGGGATCGAACTGGATTAAGCGGGACTTAGGACCAGGGCGAAAACAGAATTTGACCTCCCGGGAGCTGCATCCGAAGAGGAGGCCGGGAGCGGGGGAGAGGAAGGACAAGGACGAGGAGCCTTCAACGACGCCAGCACCTCTGGGAGAGTCACTGCGCCGAGTGGCGCTCCCCTTTGCTCGTGCACTCGTGCCCTGGCCTGGCCAGGAGCGCGTGCGCACCGCAGCTGGGCCAGGCCCGGCCCGGCCTGTCGAAGCTCAGGAGGCAGCTCCCTGTGAGCAGCGTTGATCCGATCCCCATCCCCAGCGGCGTGGCCTGGGCCCCACTGGCCGATTTACCCCCCTAGACGGGGATATAGACCGTTCCCTGCGGGTTTCGAGGGGTGTCTCCCCAACTGGGGGGGGTAATCTGGTGGGGGTCTCGAAGGGGATGAGAATGGGGATGGGGGTCGGTGAAACGATCCTGATCCTTGGAGGTCGTGGAAAGAACGATGGAGGGCCAGCAAGCCCGATTCAGGAGCCAATGAGCCAGAACAGAACGACTTAAAAGCCTAAGATTGACAGAGCCAGACGGAACGGAACTGCTGAGAGGGACGACCGCGGAGCAGGCCAGTTCCCGACCACGGATATACCAGCGCCGATGCTGGTTTGAGCCTCCCACGGCTTGCATCCGAATGCAGGTGTTCACGTCGGTCGGAAGAAGAAGGTACATACATTGAGCAGGAAGGCGGAAAATGCAGATAGGGTCCAGGCCCTCCAAGAGGAATAACACTACACAGCAACATCAGACCGATCCTTGAAGTAGGCAGGACGGCGCTTGCAATAGATTTGAGGGCACGACTTATATCCATACCCAATGCGTCTTGGACTTTCTTGGACGGGGCGTCGGCAGGCCGCGGCGCAGTGGACATGGACAAACATATGACCTCTACGGGAGAAACTGTTTCATCCATATCCACGGCGCCTCTGGCATGGGAGGAAGGGAACCCGAGACTCCAAGACGCATCGGATACGATATGGATAGAATTCTTGCTCGCAAAGTTGGGAGCTGGGGATCCAAGAGTCTCTACTCTCAACGACCCGCGGGTATCGTTTTGAGCAGGCACCGACGTCCCGGCATTTCTATAGGCCTACCACGGCATGTTCTTGGAACCCCAAACTGTTCCAAGAGCAGAAAGCATGCTCTTAGAACAGAAGCCCGGTGTGTTAAAACGAGCCAGCCCGAGCCAGAAAGGTTCTGAGGACATGTCGTGCCGACCGCAAAAAAGGTTCTCAGAACATCCTTTGGTGGGCCTATAGGCGAGCCAGGACGCTCGGCCACTGCTCGACACTTGCCGCCCCCCGATCCTGGTCCTTCGCCTGGGCCGGCGAGGGGGCCGCGCCGCTGGCACACGGAGTCGTATGGGAGGCCGGCGCGTGGAGAGCTTGGGCGCCGGCCGGCTGGCCCAGGGTGACCCTGGCTCCCCCTCCTGCTCCTCCTCCACCCTCCTCCTCCTCCTCCTCCTCTCCTCCTCTCCCCCTCCCTCCTCCTCCTCCTCCCCTCCTCCTCCTCCCTATCCTCCATCCTCCTCCTCCCCTCCTCCTCTCCTCCTCCTCTCCTCCTCCTCCTCCTCCTCCCTCCCCTCCTCTCCTCCGCCTCATCCTCCGCCTCCTCCTCCTGCTCCTCCTCCTCTCCTCCTCCTCCTCCTCCTCTCCTCCTCCTCCCTGCTCCTCCTCCTCCCTCCTCCTGCTCCTCCTCTGTCTCCTCCCTCCTCATCCTCCTGCTCCTCCTCCTCCTCCTACTGCTCCCTCCTCCTGCTCCTCCTCCTTAATGAGATAATATGCCGATGTACTGCAATATCTCTTTTTCATCTTGAGCCAAAATAGGCGCACAGAGGAGGGTGTCAGAATCACTCCTCCTCGGGCCTGGCCGCAAACCGGCCAGGCACGACTTAAGTCGTACGCGGGCGCGCCCGAGCCGACGCGCCCAGCTCATCTGCTAGGCTGCGGCCATGCCGCGAGCCCCTCACTCCGCCCGGCGCGATCATACCGCCGCCGGCGGAACCTCATCCAGCCCCACAGGTAGCAGAGCATGGATTCGATCCACTCCATCACTTGATGTCCTTCTGATTCGAACTCGGTGCCCGATCCCAGATGTTCAGCGTAGCCATGTGTCTCCTCAAAAGGGAGCCACCCACGCTCTTGGTCAGCACGTCCGCGACATTGTTCTTGCCAGGAACTGCGGCGATCGAAAGGTCGCCCTTGCCAACACGCTCCTGGATCCACAAGTATCGTGATTGAACATGTCGCATCTTCCCGAGACCTCGCCGTTGGACGTGGCCCCGGGCCGCCGATGAATCCGAGGCAAGCTCCACCTTCAGGTCCAGCCCCCAATCCGCGAAGAGGCTGTGAAGGCCTAGGCCCACGCTCCCGCCCTTCACCAGGGCGTAGTACT